GCTGACACTTCCTTGCTTACTTGGGTCTCATGCCTCTGCCACGTTCACATTTCTCCATCACAAAGTTCATCCAGTCCTGAGCAAAGTTGACTAGCCGTCGTCCTAAGTTTTGTCGTGGCTCTCCTGTAACCAGACGAGTCACCTCCCTCAGGTACTGTAACAGATAAATTTGACTGAATCACTATTGTCATAAACAACTCTTATTTTTTATTGAAATTTGAATATTTAATCTGTCCTAAATTGTCAGTACCCGACTATGGTTCAAACAGCCAAGTTAAACTGTAAATTGATTTGAAAATACAGAACAATAAACAGAAAAATGTCTCACTTCAAAACCAAAGTTGTATCCCTTGAGCATGGTTTCTCTGTAGAGATTCAAAAGGTGATTTCTCTCGTTGTCCTCAAGTTTGGCAATGTCATCAAAGTTGAGTTTGGTGTCCACCTCCTTAATGGCAGCCACCACCTTCTCCTGAAGCTGCTCTGCGGCCTCCTACAGCGTTAAAATAAAGTCTTACAGTTAAAACATACAGAAAATGTGAATCTTCTTACTACACGTAGTATTAAAATCTTTGTCATAATTTTAATTAGAAAAAATCTTTTTTGATCCCAATAATTGTAAAAAAAAATCCATGCAGACACCTGAAAAGTTATTGTATTAAACTTGATTAAAGTTTACTGATACTGCTTCCATTTCTCATCGAAAGCTGTCTTACCTTGAGTTCACCCAGAGATTCTGCAATGGCTTGGTGACAGGATGTCTGCTCGTTGACCAGAGCTACAGATTTCCCCATCAGCTGCTCAAATTCTTTCCTCTGTGTCATTAGGTGAGAGGAATGGATCACAACTAACAGGAGGCCATCAACCTACAGAACAAAATGCAATAGCCTGAGTTAGCAAAACCAACCTGGTAAACACTCCACAGCAATGTTAGAAACATTCTGAAGCAACCTGTCAACCACACACACACAATATAAGATATATACAACATACCAATCTATCAAATACATAACACCAGATACCCAAAGGCTTAATTCAAATCATACATCAGTCAGGCCTAATAACAACGACTCAATCTGAATATGTTCTATTATAAAACAGACTATGAGTTATGATAAGGTACTATGTACATACTATATAGGGGCATTTTTATCAGAGCTACCCAATACATTTTCTAGACGTGAAATGAAGTTTCAACAAAACGTCTTACCAGCTATCCAGCCATTCACCGTTAATCAAACCAATAAGTGGATTCATGGCCACATCAAGACTCAAAGCATTAAAGTCAAGCACAAGACATGGGGTGAACACTGAAAGTAATTCCTGTGTGATCTAAAAAAGATAGACCTATGAATATTAGAACTCACCTCAATATGTGAGAGAGCAATTGCTGTGTCTGCTGTAGGCTCCACTTTGATTGTCTCCCCTGTCCACAAGGGACACTCCTCCCTATGTTCAGTTCCCCCACTACAGTTAACCATGAGAAGGTATCCCTCATCCCTCTGGTTGATGTCATGAGATCCAGTCAGGTCCTCCCGCCCACAAGTCACATTCAGCAATTGGATGATGAGTTGGCGACAGTCCATAATACTGGACGGGATGAACATAAGGTAGCCCTTGTTCAATGAAGCTTCCACCTATGTATAAAGTGTGAACTTGTGTTACCTTTGGTTAATATTTGATATCATAATTTTTAATTAAAATCACAAAGAATTCCATTTTGTATAACATATTTTTCAATATGTTATTGAGATATTACACAACACAAATTATAGAAAAGAATTCTCTTTAAGGGCCTGTCACACACTACTGACGTACCTCGCCGAGACTAAACCGCAGCAAAATATTAACAACCGAGACAACGGCCTAGAAAATCGGCAGAGCTCCGGGGAGAAAGCACTTCTATATTGATAGTAGCAATACTGATGTAGTTCCGGCAATCCTGTTGTGATACCGATGTAAGAACCGCAATGTGCTACCAAAGACCACTTTTCCGCCGATGTTATACCAAGGCACAGCCGTTGTTCTACCGATTTGCCACCGTTGACTGGAGCTATAGCGAAGTGATAAAATTTGCACTGCAGATGCTACGGTAGTATAACGTTAGTACATCTGTACCAGTATGGTACACATTGAGGCCACCGGAGAGCCGCCGATCAAAGTCTCGTTGCTTGCTTCGGCAGCACAACGGGGACAATGTTTGAGCATGTTCAAAAAAGTCTACCGTCGCCTGCCATTGCTTAATTTTACACCAGTGTTCTTACGATGTACTACCGTTCTTAGCGATGTGATACCAATGAGCTGCCGTACTAGTACCGATTCCCGAGAATCACCAAATTTGTGCCCCGTTATACCTCGGGCGACCCAAAT